GGGTTTGTTGAGGGTGGGCCATAAGGGCTAGGCTCTTAAGGCAGGGACTGGCAAGCCTGGGAAACCTAAGCCCCCCATCCACCAAATTCCTTGATTTGGAGTGTCATTGAGCTAAAATCTGGATGTGGCCCAAGGCTATCAGACCAGTAAAAAGACAATGGTGGGCTTGCTTAGATAATTAAGGAAAAAAAAAGAGCCAGTCTATAGGGGTGGGAGTGGCCCCTGCAGGCTGTTGGACCTAGTGAAGGGGTCCAGAAAGAAAGAAAGATTTTTATTGGGTCTGTTTCAAGTTTTTAATATACTGCTTACATAGTTCTGAATTTTCTTATATACGTAACCTGGTAAGCAATTGTGTTAGTTATGTTGATTGGAAGGGCAATTTATTTTATGATCTGGAATGTTAGATTAAGAATTGTGCCTTCAGAGAAAAGAGAAAAAGGAATGAGTGGGGCTGTTGAGGTATTCTATATGAACCCATTTTGTAACATTTCCTTTTAAGTACTGTAATTTAAGAAATGAGAACTTCAAAGTTGTGTCTATGTTTAAAAGGAAAGTTTTAGCTGGGATTATTTGACTCTCACTTGTGAAGTTTAAAATTGTTAACTAAGCTATTTGGAGTTATTGTTTAAGTGAAGTACTGGTAGAAGTATTTTTGTGTGTAAAGAAACTATGTAATTATGCAAAGAAAGAGATTTGTAGAATCTCAATTCTTATCAATCCTCTGCAGGAGTTTTGTGAGATGGAACTCTTACTGATTAAGTGGCCCACTGCAGACACCTCTGGACTAAAGAAATTAGGTAACTAGGAACTTTATGGTGATAATCATTTAAGATCAATTGAGCCCCAATAAGGGCCAAAAACCTGAACTGATCTTTCTTCCTGAGTGAGCTAAGAATGCCCCTTCCTGTGTCGACAGCTAAAGCTGATCAAGAGCATTCTTATGTTCACGAAATTTGATTTTACTCGGGATGTTATTAGGAACCAGAATACATGTAGGAAGTTATGCAAACTACTTAGAGCTCACTTTGGAGATGTTCCCTAATTAATGTGAAATTATAGTCACACCTGAAGTTCTGTTGAGGGGAATTTGCTATCTAAGACCTTGGAAACTGTTAACGAACTGTTGCTCTGAGTTTAACTCCAGGGATGGTTAACAAGGAACTGATTGAGCTACTAACCCATGATGTCAGCAACCTGCAAAGAGGTTTGCGAGCTGCATCTATGAGCTGCAAGAGGGTGTTCTCATGGTGATGGGGTTGGAATCTGAGCCCTAGAAAGGAAAAACCCTGGACTTTCCCACATGGCCAAATCTCTGGCGTTCCCCTGAGGCTATAGTCCCATCAACTGGTGCCTCCCTATGGCCCCAGACCACTTCCCACCCTTGGTCCCACCTAGGCTCCATTTCCCACCCTTGGGAATTCTATTACCTCATGGACTACTTGGCCACTCTCCCACAGTCTTTCTGTATATAAGGTCCATCTTGTCTCCATTTAGATGCTCAGATTTTCACAATCTAGCCAATAGCCCATAGATGCTCAGACTCCTTAAGAGTCTGGCTAATATGGTGAATCTTCAATAAACCTTGTTTTTGGCTGCAAGAAGGCTTGGGTCAAATTCTTTCTGGCAGGACCCAGGTATCGTGATTTTGGGGTGCCAGAACCCCTAATCTCTAGACCGCATCAATGGGAAGGTCGGGAGAATGACTTTTCTGCATTGGTTGAGGCAGGATTCTCCTGACTCAATTTCCCCACTATGACACCTGGCAGACGTTAAACCTGGCTCAATGCAGTTGGTCATATATATGTAACTTCTGTCTGGAGTTGACATGAACTAGGACTTCCCTTCTAGGGAAGCATTGTTCCCTTACTTTAGTTATGTTCTTTCATGGCAAATTCCTCCAATCATAAGTTTGTCAGAATAAATATCGAATCTATTAAACAATAGGTTGATGCGGGAACATCTGAGGTTATTATAGTAAGATGCAGGTATAAGTTTGAATTATTTGGCCTGGAATTTCAGAGTAGTATTCAGTCTTGACATCTGTTACTAGTATATTCCTGTATAAGTCAGGATCCTTTAATTTCTCATAATGGTTATGATGAGGTCTGGAGGTTTGGAGGCACTGGAACTCCAAGGTCACAGCACAAGGGTTCCTCCAGAAGGAGTTCAGCCCAGGTCTTTCAGTCAGGGGGAAAGTTTGTTGTAGATAAACCATATAGGCCAGGTGACTCCCATAAGGACAAGCAGGCATGAGAAAGTCTCAGCGTTTGAATCGGGGTCAGGGTGGATCTTGCATACACTGAAGAAACTTTGGGTGACCAGGGATGGGGCTAGGGCTTTCAAAGGAAGATGAGGAGTTGGGGCCCATGGACTGATGGGAGCCAGATTCTTTCTGGGGAAAGGGGTGAGGGTCTCAGCTTGGACCCATCCCCTATCATTAGGGGATAATTAGACCAGGACACTGTGGAACTAGGATATTATTCTGTGACTTAGTTAATACTTAGTTAATGGTAAAGTTGTCTCAGTTTGTTACAATTAATGTTAAGGAGGAATAACATGGCTTATCTTGTAAATGCCTTGAAAAAAGCATCTATTTTAATTAAGGATTTTTTATTTGTACATGACTAGAAGTTGGGAGTGTTTTGTTATTTGATATGCAGTGGTTTTAAATTAACTACTATGGATTGGAGTCTGTTACTAATTCCTTAATGGAATCTCATCTTCCTGATGGGGAATATAAATAGGAATGAATAGTCAACTAATGCAAGGTATAAAACTCGAAGTAATGCAGAGTGTAAGGCTAGGTTCTACTTTTTTTTAATTTGAGTTTTTTGAAACATGACAATTGGACAAAGTTTCCATTTTGATCTTGTAATGGTGAAGACATAGGGGTTGAGTTGATTTTCATTATTTGCCTTGGTTATTAGCAAGGTAATTTAAAATAGTGTTGAGATCAATCTTGTAGGAGAGTAGACACAAGAGGGAGGATCTCTGCAGGAGGAGAGTCTGCTGGACACTGTTTGAACTGCACTTAGACAAAAAAGAAGACTTCACCAGATGATGTCCAGAGTGTCAGCTGTATGAGAAGAGACTTCTGAAGCTTTAAATGGACAATTTATGGTTCCTTTTGGGTCTCTGTATCTGCACTTAATAAGGGAACTGGCCCCTTTTTACTTTGTCAATGAGTCAGTCAACTCCTCCCTTCCTTCTCCCATATTAAGTCCCCAAAATTCCATTGAAAAGTACCTCAGTGGGACTGGTTCTGGGAATTCAGGTAACAGGAGTTAGGATGATGATTGAGCCAGTTAATGACCATTCCTCCCCCTCTGATGAAGAATTCGAACTAATGTTAAAACGCTTTGAGGAAAGAACAAAAAGTGTGGAAATATAATTCTTATTGAGAAAAAGAGGAGGGAATTGTGAGAGTCATATTTCCATAGAGAAGGAGAATAACGTGGAGATTCAAAGAACTATTCCAGGAAGCAGTACACTGTAGGTGGGTGAGGGCTCAAGCAATAAGAAGTAAGTTGATGGCTCTAAAAAGACTCCAAATTCAAGATAAGGGTCGAGCCAGCTCAGACCAGTTAGGGTCAACCTGAGGACACCTGAAAAATGTTAGTGCGCCTGCTTAATGAACTTCATTACTATTATCTGCCACACCCCGCATAAAATGAGAGCCTCATTAACGAGTCATGGGATGTATGACCTCGGGAGGGGGAACATACTTGAGCATATCAAGGGGAAACATGTAAGGAGGGGTGTAACCTGGGAAGGTATGGACCAATCCGGGCCTGGGAGGTTTCACGCCAAATGTGAATGTATAAAAGCATGCTTGCCCTTGTGCTCAGGGCCTATCCATCCCTAAGAGGGGTGGAGCCTGCTTCTGGCCAGAAAGGTCTAATCCTCTGGACTTTCTCTGTAATAAACTTTCTTGATACTAAATTTTAGGTGTCAAGCATATTTCTAACACACAACTTGTTCAGCCATTCCCCAACTGATGGGTATCCCCTAAATTTCCAATTCTTTACCACCACAAGAAGAGCAGTTATGAATATTTTTGTACATGTGGGTCTTTTCTCCATTTTTATGATCTCTTTGGGATACAGACCTAGTAGTGGTATTGCGGGATCAAGGGGTATGAACAATTTTATAGCCCTTTGGGCATAGTTTCAAATTGCTGAGGAGATAAATTTCCAAGAATACAATTGTATCACCCTCTAGAAATTATTTTTCAAATTACAGCATTTTATGCAACGGTTGCCCAAACATTCCAACAGGAGAAAAATCAGAAGCATAATAACATAAACAATGTTATAGATTTAAAACATGAAAAATTGCTAAATGACATCAATTCAGTTCATTTGTGAATTATCTTACATAAAAAATTCACTTCATTCATCTCTCAATTTGACACTCTAGACTGCATTCAGAGTAGAATTGAGTAATTCTGACCCAATTACCTTCAATTCTTATTCTTACAGTTCCTCATCACATTGCCTCAATGCTGAATTTTAAGTGTATTTACCCTTAAGGTCTGATATTTTTGCAGAGGGTCAAACATCACAATTACAAAGGGAGAACTGGGTTTCTCACTGGGAGAAACTCAGTCTGATCCAATCTGGATTTACAGTTGCAAATGGTATATAGATCCTAATGTTCCTGAGAGCCATTTGCTACCAGCTCCTCAAAGTGTAGAGTCCATCACTTTCACTTAGTCTGGGGCTGCAGTTGGATCAAGGCAGTGTTTCTGCTCAGAAGGAGGAGGGGGTGAGTCTGGGAGGGAGGGAGGTGGGGGAGGCACTGGGGGGGAGGAGCTCTCAGAGATGACCAGCCTGGTGGGTGGTGGCCCAGGTGGAGTTGGAGCACTGAGGTGGAGTTTGGAGGCTGGGAGGAGTTTAGGGGGAAGAGGGGATCATTGCATTGGAGAAGGCTTTCCACGTGATGGAGGGGTGGGCTTGGGAAGGAGAGGCAGTCAGGGTCCTTGAGTTCTGGTCCTGGGTGTGATTGGAGGAAAGGGCTCAGCCATCCTGGGGGCCTCAAGGGTTGGACCGGGTGGTGTCCTTGGGACTAGGAGGATCAGAGTGGGCTGGTGGGAAACAGGAAGTCTTTGAGCTGAGACTGCTCTGCCTTCCCTGGAGCTCAGATTCTCTCCTTTTTCCTTTTGACCTGAGTTCTCTCTGCCTTCCCTGGGACCTAAGATCGCTCTGCCTTCCAGAAGCCCACTCTGTGCATGCAGATCCCAGGTAGGTCTGAGCCAGTGTTCCCACTTACATACTGACCTTTGTTTGCTGTCCTTGCCATTGGGTCTCATTCCCCAGGTCTGCCAGAAGCATGCCTCCCAGGCCTGGCTACCGGACCAGCTCCCTGCCCCTAAAACTTTTCCAGACTCCCAATCACTTCCTAAACATCCTGGCTGACCTTCCCCCTCCACCTCCCCCCGCCTGAGATTTCTCATTGGGTCACACTTTCCCAAACTTCAGATTTTGCCCATAAGAATCCTGCCTTCACTCCCAGTCCCTGTAAGTATCCACAAGTCCTACGTCCTGCCTCAAGCCCCACCTTGGAGGCAGGAACCAAAGCTCTTTCCTGATCCCCCTTATCTGGATCTGTGCCTTTTGGGCTGGTTCCCTATCAGATCCCAGCCATTTGGCTTCCTGGAGGGATTCCAAGCCTAAGCTGTACCAGAGGGTCTTGGGCATCCTCCCCAGATCCTAGCTAGACCTCAGGACACAGTCATCCTTACCTGCCCAAGCTTAATGTCCATTTGGAACACTTCTTCCAATCAAGTGTCCCTGACCTCCCTGTCATGAGCATTTAGGGTTAAAGTCGGAGGCATTTAGGGTCAGGGTTAGACTGTCCTGCCTCCCAGATCCCACCCCTGCTCCCCTGCCCCAGGCCTCCTGCTCCCCCAGCCCCACATCTTTAAGAGCTCTCGGGTCCCACACAGTTGGCTGGATCCCAGACTGGGTTTTGTCTCCCAGTCTCGGGCTTTCGTTGGCTGCTCCATTCCAGAGCCCTCCCCTTCCTCAGCCTTCCCTAACCTCCCTCCCTGCTAGATCTAGCAGTCAGTCTATTGTTTAAATAATGTGTGTTAATTGAGGAGAGGGGATGCAGGGAGGGCAGAGGATCAGTTCCAGGGAGAGCTCTGTCTCAGGGGTCATTGAGACTCTGACTGGTCTCATCCTGTCTGGGATCCCAAGCTTCATCTTCCTCTGAGGGCTCTGTAGGAGGATGGGGGAAAAGAGGGGTGCAGAAGAGAAGTAAGAGGAGGGAGGTAGTTTTCCTTTGGAGATCGGCTTCATTTCCTACCCTGACCCTCCCTGCTGCTTCCCTCCCTCTACAGGTTGGAGTCCTTTCCCTGAGGGCAAGGCCTGGGTCTTCCTAACTCCTATGGGACCCTGCCCTCTGTAAATTCCAGTTGGGCAGCCTCCTGCCTATGAAGAGAGGAGAAAGAGCTCTTCTCTGGGATCCATCTCCCTCCCCAGCTCAGTCTGCAGAGGAACAAAACCTACCCCAAGAAGGTATTGGGTCAAATCCAGACACTAAAGCTGGAGGGAAGTTAGAAGTTTTATTACGAGGCCCAACAAACAGCAAACACCCTTAGTATGAGCACCAAGGCAGTCAGCCTAGCATTAAGATTACAGGTGGGGCAGATGGGCTTTCTGTGCAGAAGGAAAGAAGGAAAGGACTTTCCAGGTGGCTCCAGGCTGTCTCATGGTCATCAGAAAGGCATAGAATTAGAACATCCCATGATTACTTGGGACATCGGTTAGTGAGAGTGTTGGCTGCTGCTCTATTGGTGGGGCCATAAAGGGTGGGGGAAGCAGATGCCTGGGGTAGATAAGGTCCAGGGATAAGATGAAGGGACTTTACAAAATGGAGTCACTTTGGTTACTTTGCTACCTACACAGGGAGCCTGGATTGAGAGAGAATGGCTCCTGGGAGCAGCCAAGCCCCAGCCCAGGTGAGTGCAGTCTATCCACGGACTTGGCCAACATCAGCAATCCAGTCATTTCCATAGACATAGAGGATGGTCTATGAAACTGGCAATGCCTGCTTTAGGGATCATTTCTGTACAAAAATAGGCATGAAATTGGATGCAGTGGTAACAACACTACCCTGCTCTTTTCCATGTTTTAAACTGATTCATTGGGTCCTTGATATATTGAGCACTGCTCCCCCCCCATGCTGCCCTCCCCTGTTTGTTTTTAAGTTCTCCCTCATTATAGCTGTCTAACAAGGGTGACCACTTCACTCACTAGTCTCTATTACCAAGGGATCATATTTTTGCTTTCTTAATGGCTGCCTAGTATTGTACACACACACACACACACACACACACTTTCCCCCCTCTTCTTTGTTTGTTGTGGCCAAGCTCTCCCATGCAGCAACTGAAGTTTCCCCCAGGAAAAGTCTTCACCCTGAATCTTTTCTGGACAGACCTGGAGCAGAGCCCTGAAGGCTCCCCCAGCTATTGTTTTTTAATGTGCTATCATCAGAGCAGAAATTGTGCTCCTGGTGCTGTTCATGGTCCCCCTACCTCAGGTCACACACGACTTCTCAGATCCGTCTGAACCCCTGTCTGTTAACAGTTCTTAGGTCAACTCAATGAGCATTCAGAAAGGCCCTAGATGGTGTCAAGGTATTTAGAAACACCCTATTTCCCAGAGCTAAGACCCAGCAAACATGTTGTGCCCTGAGCTTGGCATAACAGCAATCCTTTGCACCCTGTATGATCTTATCCTCCAGCAACATGTATTGCTTGGACCAGCACCAGGTGTTTACTGAGGGATTTATGATTTTTCATATTAATAAATAACTGTTTATATTTGTTGGAGCTCCCCCTATTTCTCAGGGACCTGGGAGCCAATGTTCTGCAGCCTAAAGCCATCCATCATATCTATTGACATGCCCACAATCCCTATTTCTTGTAACTGCCAAGTAAACTGAAGGAGGCACTGCATCCCTATTCCTGCCATGATAACTCTAGTTCTGTACCCTGCTGAATAATCAAAAGGTGTGACAACCCTTAGGACTTGAGAGGCTGTTCCCATGAGACAGATCCAAGCCAAGAAATGCCAACCATGGGAACTGCTTAGTCAAGACCTAAGAATGATTGTGTTGTGGTCCAACTTCTGGCATGTATATAAGCCTTGTCTGTATCCCAGCACGTTGAGCCATCCTTCTCAAGGTGTGGGGGTGAGTAGGAGACTTCTGCTTGCAAGCATTTTCCTCACTCTCTAATTAAATCACTACTTGATTTCTCACACACCTGCCTCTGGTTTCCTTGTTTGGCTTCAGTTTCCCAGGTTAGAGACTGGTCCAGTCTGGACCACATTTAAAATTCCATTGACAATATCCAAGCCCAAGATTTCTTGTACAGACTGCTCTGGGGCCATCTTGCTGCTCCTGTGTTTCTAAGACCTACCCTGGCACAGTGACTGAATGACAGATGACTTCTCTACTGTGTAAAAGAGGCTTCTGGGATTCTCATCCTTGCCTCAGTTGGTCCTGGGCACCAGGATTAGCTTCACCACCTACCATATTACTATACATATTGGTTTCCTGGTGGTATAATTTGTTCTGCTCTATGCAGAGTGTCCCATGCACTGGCAGAGACCATGAGAGCAAAAAGGAGAAAAGGAAGGATGGACAGAGTCAAGTTAGTGTGTCAAGGTACCTCAGACAATTTCTTGGAAATTTTTACTCTTCTATAGGTTAGAGAAGGTCCTAGATTGACCTGGGAAAGGAATGGATGGAACTGACTCAAGTCAATACTCAGTTTAGATGTTAAACAAAAATCAAACATTCTTAGGTCATTCAACAAATAAAAGGAGTTGTATTTAAGTATAGTATAAAAAGGACATTCAATAGGGATATGAGAGTTTTTTAGCTTGAGTAGACAAAGATCTCCTTACCTCCATGTGGGAGCTCATCTAGTCAGCAAAACAAGGTGTGACAGTGTGCCATTTGGGGAAATCTGTCATATAGGAAGGACCCTGATTTCACATGGGTAGACTTTTATGCCTTTAGTTTACCAGGCAGCCATACTAGTTTGTCCAGAGACCCTCAGAATACTACTTGAAGGGAGGCACATGGAGCCTTTGCCCACTATGTAAGTCAGGTCCTTGGGAGAGCTTTGTCACCTTTCAGGGAAAGAAAAAATAAAACTGGACTAACCAGGTGATAGGAGAAGGACAGAACTCCAGGAAACAGTGGCCCTTTCACAAGTAGGGATCGTGCTACCTTTGACAGCCATCAGGTGAATGGTCAGTTTGATTTCAAGACTACCTGAAGGAAGAAAACCAGCATTTATTATCAGCCACCTAGTAAGTGCCAGGCACTGAGTTAAGCACCTTACCAATGTCTCATGTGATCCTCACAACTAGCACTGGAAGGTAGGTATCATTATCCTCATCTTATTTTTACTTATATATTCAGAAATATTTGGAGGAAAATATTTTTTACTTTATTTTTTAAATACAAATTTTTTTACAGCAGAAATTTGCCTTCTCTTCCTTCCCTTTCTACCACCCCACCCCATTAAGAAAGCAAGAAAACCTAACCCCTATTACAAGAATATATGTAGTCAAGCTAAACAAAATTTTGCATGGATTATATCTAAAGAAAATTATATCAACTGGCACTTTGAGTATCACCTCTCTATCAAGAGGTTGGCAATATGTCATCATGAGTCCTCAGGAATTGCTTGATCATTGCATTGACCAGAGTTCCAGTGTGTGTATACACACATATATATGAATATACACATTTGTATTAGCCAAGATCAACCTTCTAATCCTCCCACCTGTTCTCTCCCCCACACTAAGAACATAAGAAAAACAAAACCCATTACACACAATGTATAGTCGATCTGAAAAAAAAAACACAGTTCCTATGTCCTAAAAAATATTTCTCATTCTGTATCTGACTCCTTCACCTCTAGGTGGTAGGCAGAATGTTTCTTCATCCTCGGCCCTCTGGAGTCTTCGTTGGTCACTACGCTAATTCATGTTCAATGCAGTAGTATTCTATTACATTTATGAACTTTACTTATTCATCCATACTCCATTTATGAATAATCCCTCAGATTTCCTTTTTTTGCCACCTCAAAAAGATTTAGAAATAATCTTATACATCCTTTGAATTTATTTTGCTTAGGCCTACTCCTTCAGTGTATCCTCATTATAATTCCCCCTCTCCTTTCTTTCCTTTCCCTCCTTTTCACTAGTTAGTAAAATATATTTCTGTACCCAACCCTGTGTTATATCCATTCTTCCTTCCTTTGACTAGAGGACTAAGTTTCAGGCATCAGATGCTCCCAGCCACTCCCTTCTCCTTGTTTGTATAGATGTGTACTTGTGCCCCATGAGATAATATTACATGAGATATATATGAGATTACATGAGATAATATTTCCTAACCCTCCTTTCCATCCACCCACCTTACTGTATCCCTCTTCCTCTCTTTCCATCTTTTCCTCAAGATCAAGACATAACAGAACCTCTCCAAGGTCTTCTCTAATTTGATTCCCTCTATGAGCCCTGAGAGAGATCAGAGGGGACACATATCACCTCCCCATATTTGAATATAAGTAGTTTATCTTTTTTTTTACTCCCATAGGCTAGTTCATCTTTCTTTTCTTATTTATGTTTCTCTTCACTTGTGTTTGAACTTCAAAAGTTCTCTGCAGTTATGATCTTTTCATCAAGAATGCTTGGAAGTCCTTTCTTTGAGGGTTACGTCCCCCCTATATCATTACACTCAGTTTTGTTGGGTAAATTACTCTTGGCTATAAGACCATGTTCTTTACCTTCTGGAGTAATCTATTCCAAGCTCTGTGCTCTTTAATGATAGTTATTGCCAAATTCTATGTGATCCTAACTGTGGCTCCTTGGTACTTCAATTATTTCTTTCTGGATGCTTGCTGTATTTTCCTTATTCAACTGGAAGTTCCATGTTTTGATTACCATGTTTCTGGAAGTTTTCATTGAGAGATTTCTTTTAGGAAGTAATCTGTGGTTTATTTTGACATTGTGCTCTGGTTGTAAGACATCTGTGCAGTTTTAAGGTTTCTTGAAATCTTATGTCCAGGTTCCTTTTTTTATGGCATTCAGATAGTCCAATGTTATTTAAATTTTGCCTTGCTCTGTTTTCTCTGTAAGTTGTTTTTACTATGATATACCTTACATTTTCTTCTGTTTTTTTTTTTTTACCTCTTGAATTTGTTTTAATATTTGTTATTGCCTTGTGACTTCTATTTGGTCTATATGGCCAAGGTTTTGTACCCTTGTGCCAAGCTGTTAACTCATTGATTCTTTCTTCCATGTCACTCATTTCTTTTCCATTTATTTTTCTCCAGACGTGGCCAACACAGAAGTGGGGCTTACATGATTATACAGGTGGACAGCAGGGCCTTGGTTTTTCATTTATTTTCAGTGAGGGTGGAGGTGAGAGGAAAGAAAAGAAGGGGGATTTTTTTCTAATGGAAAAAAACCTATTTATTATCCATGGGACAGTGCCTTTTTCCTTCCCATTTTCCTCAAGGCTTTAGGGAAGATCATTTGGTTTTGTCTCTAGAATTGGGAGCCAAGAACTAGACACATCGAGAAAAGGTAGCTTCAGAACTACACAAAACCATAACCCCTGAAGCCCAGCAAAAAGCTACATCCCAGGGGACCCTCCTAGAGACTGGGGAAAAGAGAAGAGAATTTTGATTCATCCAGCAGCTTTGAATGACCCATTGACCATTTGAGGTCTAAGCATGGGCCCTCTTTCCCCTGGACTCTGAATGTCCTTGTGGTCCAGTGTCTCAGACTCTTTTGGGGATGGTTGTGTATTCTGGTCCTTGCTATATTTTTATAGTAAACAACTTTCAAAAATAAAATGGGAATAACCTCTCAAATGGAGATGATAGCACCTACCTCCCAGAGTTCTTGTGATGCTAAAAATGAGATTCATAAA